CCTGGACAACCTGTGTCGTTCATAATGAGGCAGCACATTTTCTAAACCCAATAACAACACCTGGCTGAAGCTAGCTAATTAGCCACATTTGTTAGCAGAAGCTAGCTTACTGTGGCTGACAGCACACCATGCTGATCAAATCCCCTGTCGTTCTCTTTTCCTTCACTCCACTCAGCAGGGGGCCTAGCAGGGGCTAGGTTATGGTAATCTCTGTCGGTTACTAAGAGGCATTCGGTTCATATGGAACAGCTAGTTTACACTGTAAGCCATTCCGGCACTGTCTGTTGTTTTCTACGAAAGAGATCGCCACACTATCAATGTTTTCTGTTCAACTCAGAAAGGACTGCAGTGATTTGGCACGTTGCCAAGGCGATAACGGTGCAGCCAACACAACTTTTCTATCAAAAAGATACACTCTTTTGTCTGGGCAGCTCAAGGGTTGTGCTTTACAGGCGATGACAATACAGTACTCCAGCAGTCAGGTTCCAAGACTGAGTGCTTTGACAACTACTCTATTCGGAAGCATTCGCTGGGCCCACAATAGAACAAATTATCTGTGTTTATTTGAAGATATATGAGAGGAAGATGATGTTTACATATGTTTACATATCATATGTTTATTACAGTGACATTGAATTATCTAAATGCGGAGTGTGGCAAAGCCACAGTTGTTTTAAAATTATTTAGCCATCTGCACTTTTGTGTTAGTGTGATTTATTTTACGTGCTTGATGTTTTCATGATAATTATAACATGTTTACAAGGCTGGAAGTTCAACAAATAAGTCGATATACTAGTGTGATTGAAGTTGCTAAATAAAAATCTGTAATTCATATTAATTAATGCATAACCTTATTTCATCATAACATACAGGCCTGGCCTACAGGAAAGAAGAGTTTATGTTTCTAATATTGGGTCGGTCATGCTATACAATTATTGATTGCTTGTTTGTTGAGTAATACAGAAGACAAAGAGCACATTAAACCGCATATTAAATCACAAAAATAACCGCAATTTGATTATCATCCAAAATCATTCAGCTCTATTATAAAATTACAAAATATATTTTATTGTTATCAGGTATCCTCTGTTGCAGTTTTATTGACAATCAAATAACTTATTTATGGTATGTCCAAGCATTGATTTATATACAATTACTGAAAGAAAATGTATTATTATTATATTGATGATATATTCTTCTATTCATTTTGCTTATTCCTTAGTGAGTCTTTTGTTATTAAAATATATTGAAATATAGCTTTTTTTGCATGATTTAATATGTTGAATTCAAAAGCAGCATTTTCGTTTCATTAATGCTAGGTGTAGACGGGTACAGAAATAACAAAGAATCGTTGTATACACGACCCAAGGCTGTGAACATCACACATTCGTATCAGTCCAGCATGTTACTGGTGCACCCTTGTCTAAAAAGAAACCCGATGAGATAAAGCAGTTGAATCCCATCTTTATTTGCCCCCGTGCTCTGCTCTGCACAGCTCTGCGTGCTAGAAAGGAAGTGAAGTTTGTTAGCAGCAAGGGACACGTAGAGGGAGATTAGAGGGCAGCCTTGTCACGCCCCAGGAGAGTGGGGGAACAGCAGCACAGACGAGGCACCAGCGTGCACACTGGGAAAACACGCAGGGAAAGGACGCTCCTGGCAAGTCGTCAGTTGGGATTAAAACCGGGATGAAAACATCCCATAGTGCCGTGGATGAGGCAGTCAGATCCAGACACCCCTTCCCCCCCTATTTGTTCCGTTCAGAAAAAGTACAAGTTATGCAAACACAGCTCAATCCTCGCAGCGCCATTTCAATACCTTAATCGTAGCCTCTGTCATTCGGAAACTGAAGTTAGTGCTTCAATTAGTTAGTACTTTGAAATATTTCTTGGTAATGACTCACGGAAAATAAACATGTACACTGATGAGTCAAAACATTATGACCACCCGCCCAATATGCTATTGGCCGACTGGACGACACCTGGACTCTACAAAAGCCCTAGAGAAGACCTGTGGTATCTGGCACCAGGACATTAGCAGCAGACCCCTAGAAAAGACCTGTGGTATCTGGCACCAAGACATTAGCAGCAGACCCCTAGAGAAGACCTGTGGTATCTGGCACCAATACATTAGCAGCAAAGCCCTAGAGAAGACCTGTGGTATCTGGCACCAAGACATTAGCAGCAGACCCCTAGAGAAGACCTGTGGTATCTGGCACCAAGACATTAGCAGCAAACCCCTAGAGAAGACCTGTGGTATCTGGCACCAAGACATTAGCAGCAGACCCCTAGAGAAGACCTGTGGTATCTGGCACCAAGACATTAGCAGCAAACCCCTAGAGAAGACCTGTGGTATCTGGCACCAAGACATTAGCAGCAGACCCCTAGAGAAGACCTGTGGTATCTGGCACCAAGACATTAGCAGCAAACCCCTAGAGAAGACCTGTGGTATCTGGCACCAAGACATTAGCAGCAGACCCCTAGAGAAGACCTGTGGTATCTGGCACCAAGACATTAGCATCAGATACTTCAAGTCATGTATATTGCGAGGTGGAACTACCGTGGAACTTGGGAATCTGGAGGTCAGGGAAACACCTAGAACTCTTCATCATGTACCTCAAACCAGTCAATGTGTGCAGCGTGGCAGGGTGGATTATCCTGCTGAAAGAGGCCATTTTTAAGGTGTACCGGGTCTGCAACACTGTTTAGGTAGGTGGCATGTGTTAAATTGATATCCACATGAATACCAAGACGCAAGGTGCTTATTGAAGATGCTTAGAAGGCGGACAGGGGTCATGATATGCACTCTGACCGAAATATAGAATAGTGAATTGCAATATAAGTACATTCAGAATTTTTTGTAAGCACTATTTTCCAACAATGACATTCATTTAATTTTTTTTTTATGGGCAACACAATAAAATATAATATAAAAGGACCAATGCAATCTCATAGCAAAAGTAACAGCAATTTTAAAAAGCCAAGTAAAATTTTAAACACGTAACTGTGGGGAAACAAAAGACTTAAGGCGTCCAGATATTTGGGTAGTTTGCATTATACAACTGTATGGTAATATTGAGACATTAGACAATCACATTTAAGTCATCTGGAACTAATCCTTATTTCAACTGACAGAGTAGCAATTATTTCACACATTTGTGGTCTGTTTCCCCAGAATAAATCGATTTTCACTTTAAGGCATAAAGTGTTTGAATTAGACTAAAACTTTACAGGACACAATGTCATTCGGACATATTATTCAAGACAAATACCAAATTTAAAATGCTGACCTACACATATTTGTTGACAATCAAGGTTAATTGTTGCAATTTCTAAATAATCTCATTACGTCACAATTCAATGAAACCATACAAATGGAGTTCCGAGGAATTGAAACGCTGATGGTGGGGGGCTATTCATTTAATCAACAGTTTTATTTTTTGGTCAGCATTAGAAAATGTTTAACACACATTTATCATTTGCCTGTCTTTTTCTTTTAGAAAAATATGTGTGGAGACAAGAAAATTTACAGAACAGTCATGGAATGTAAAAAGTGGTCTGAGCCATCTCCTGGAAAACACGATTATCGGCAGCTGTTTATCTAATATGTGTTCAGTTGCACATTGACTTGAAGGGTTTGTTGTGTTCATTAAATACAAATATATTATTTCTAAAATACAATGAACCCTTAGGTTTCTTCAGGCACACGTCTTACATAAAGCTTCCTTGTAGTTTAGAGTAACGATAAATAAAAAGTAGCACAGTAAATCAAAAACCTAATTTAAATTTTTTACACTGTAAACCAAGTGATTTCCAATCATTAACTAAAAGGGATAACATTCTTAGTACCGGAGATTGGAGATAGACAAAAAGAGAAGGAAACGTTTAAATCATGAAGATAAATAGAATCAAATTACAAACATAAAACGAAACAAAGAAAAAATAAATGTCTTATTGTGAATATAGGATGTTGATGCTTGCTACAATAAGGCATATAATAATGCTAGTGTTGTCCTTAGTACGATTCTAAACAACTACAGCCATAGTTTATATGAAACTCCAACACTCACAATCCCCCGCTGGTTCTATCATCATCTAATGAGACAGCTTGTTGCCATGGCGGCAACCTGAAAGGGAGTGTCTTCCTGGCTGACAAGGCCTCAGACGGCAACACAGTTAAGTAATCTTAGCAGCTCAAAGCCCTGATTAAAGGCATGCATTAGTTAGCAACACAGAGCTAGGCTAGCAGAGAGCAGGCAGGGAGTAGAGCGCTCCCTGACCAGCTGCCACCATGCTTACTGCCATACTGACTCATTCACACATCATGCAGAAGATGGAGGAGTTGCATTTCACTAAGACTGTAGGGGATTTGAACACCTTCAACCCACATAGTTGTACTGCTACTTGGGATGCAACGATTACAGATTTTGATTATACAATTAGAGACTTTGATTATACAATAATAGATTTTGATTGTAGATTTTAATTTTATGATTATCGATTTTGATTTTACGATTAGAGATTTTGATTATACGATTAGAGATTTTGATTATATGATAACAGTCTGAGGAATACTCACAATTTCACAATTATTAGGCATTCATTTATTTCAAAACATCTATGGATGTATAAAATCGCGTGAGCATTCTATAGTTAGAGGTTTTATTGTACAACATATCTTGAATGGCTTTGGTTTTAAACAAATGCTGCCTTTTGAAACAGAAATAATTTGGGATTAAAAATAAGCTACCTCTGTAAACATCCATGTCATTTTTGCAAAACAAAACAAATGGAGTCAAAGGCTGTAGTGCTCTTTTGATCAACCTGCCTATATTACAAAATAGTTTAGTATTTTCTATTTGCATAATTTTTCGACATTGTTTTTGAATAGGAAATGTGTGAAAGAAATATTTTTTGTTCACTCAAACCAGATTTCCCCCCCCCCACTAATCTGTTTCACTGTAATTAAATCAAATTGCGCAATCGCAACTCCAATTGGGATATCCCTGTTTGGAGCAGTGGTTAGTGTGCTCGGCTGCAGAGCCGGGGGACGCTGGTTCGATTCCCTCACCAGATGCCACAATATGTCTTTTGAAATAGTTTTTAGCTTTTATTTTTTGAATCTTATTTTGACCCATGTGTATGATGTGGCTCTTAGTCTCTGACTGTTTGGCCACCCCTGCGTTAGATAGAAGCATAGAAACAAACAAACAATATGAATAACGCGGCCACGGGTAAAAAAACTGAAAGAAAAGGGTGGGGCTGAGAATGCAAGAGAAAAAAATTGCGGAATTTAGATACTGAAGCCGCGAAATGTCGCAAACTAACTGAAATATTTAGCAGCACAGCCAGCAGCTTCTCACAGTTAAATATTATCAGCAGAGCCAGCAGTGAAGAAGTGAGCCAGACAGCTATGCAGCAACATGCCACCAGTGATGATGAGGGACAGAAAGATGAGCTGGTTCCACAGGCAGATACAGGGCAAGTAAGTATGCAACATGAGAGGAGAAAGAGAGGTACTTGCTAAGGACGATGTTAGGAAGTGATATTCAGCTTGCTACATTTTTAATGATTACATTAGTTAAAACAGCTAAAGTTCAACAGTTTAGCTGTAAAATGCCACATGCAGTAGCTAATATTAAGAAATATGTTGTGTTTTTTCTTTTAAAAAGTCTCCGTGCGCCGATTGCTTTGGGCCGGGCCAGGTCAAAGTCCAGGGCCGTTTTTTAATCCCAGTCCGTCCCTGCTGAAAGTCCAATATGTTACTGCTACTTCGTTCAGTTCAGTTATTACGGTACTTTATCATTTAGCCGTAACTTTTGTCTGCATGATATCTGCATAGGATATCCGTGGTCTAGAACAACTCCACAATAATCCTTCAACTGTCCCAAAATCTCTCACACTGACGACTTCCACCAACGTTATTTCGGTGGATAGAGAGAATGGCTGCTCTCTCTGCTGTTCTCTCATGGTCGCTCTAGTGACAGTGCGTGCATTTTAAGCAGGTGTAACTACGTTTCTGTTCCGTCTGCAGTCTGTAGGCTGCACTGGTGATGTTAGTTTACCAACGGTTCATTGAAAAATTATATACCATAATGTCCCTTTTTTTTAAAGCGAGAACAGAACACACAGTGTAGCTGAGCCTTTAAGGTCACAAACCTGTGACGTTTCAAATCGTGGTTAATAGTGAAACTGTGGTTAATTGCTGCATCCCAACTGCTACTGCTACGTCTGATGTTGAAGTGATAATTACGAGTGTAGGTTTTAAATGACACATTTGCTGAATTTAAATAGGCATTTTTTCCGTCACTGCAGATTGATTATTAAAGTGAAAAAAAAATCCTGAAAAGGAATTCTGGGCTTCCATTTCTGCAACCGAACATCTCATTTCTAAAATAACACAGAATTATGGTATTACTTTATGTATTACTCTATATTTCTGGGACGTTCTATAGTAAAGTGTCTGGAAAAACAAAAACAAATAAATGTGTTTGTATTTGTAATCGTTTTTGCTCGTTACAATAGGGTAAAAATACCAGATGTTCAATACTCAGCATAACCAAGTGAACACTGTTAACAAATAGGCTTTATGCCGATCCAGCCACAGTAAATGGAGCTTAACACTCCTGTTAACATAAGGGCTTTGCAGTGAAGCACACAGATTTGGAATGAACATATATAGCCATTAGGTTACCACTGTACTGTGCACAGCAGAGTGGAGGTCTGCCGATGGGAAGCAGGCATAATGCATTGAGTCTAAACAGGCTAGTAAACTGGTGGGTTGTGCAAGAAGGCTTATTATGAAAGCTTGCAATTAGACATGAAATAGAAATGTCTCCACTTTCAGAAAATTAAAACTGCAAAGCAATTTCTAAGAAATGTCCCCAGTTCTCAATATAATTCTTTAGCTGAAAAGGACAGTCTAAAATGCTGATTAGTCAGACAGTTGCCAATTAAAAGCTAATAAGGTTAACATGACTTTGCACAGGGGAGTGTTGGTATTTAACTGGTAAGAAAAATAAATGGGGAAGAAAAGATTGCTATCTTGGCAGGTTATTTGCTCATGCATAAAGGTATGTTCGAGCTGAATCCAATTTACACTGAAATTCAATTTGAGGATAATGAGTAGGCAAAGTGTTTGTGTGTGTGTGAGTACGTGTGTATGTGTGTGTGTGTGTGTGTGTGTGTGTGTGTGTGTGTGTGTGTGTGTGTGTGTGTGTGTGTACAGGAGTTTGTGATGGGTTACTGCCCCAACCATATAGCAGTACAAACAACAATCCACATTCATTCCACAAAACCTCCGATCTGCTCCAAGGGAACGTTAGTGTCAGTATTGAGCCCAGAAGCAAGTGAATACATTCTGTCATATACATTCTGTCATATACATTCTGTCACAGAATTGTTTCAGTCTCCAGCTCTCCACTTGCCCACCTGTTACTGGTACCATGTCTTGTCTATGGTAATGAGGACAAAACAGATAGAAGCACCATACTATCCCTGGGCTATTTCAGTCGGAGAAAGTCGTTTGATTTCTCTGTGAATTAGGGGGAAATGCAACTCCTGTGTATTGTTGAAGTACAAAGAAAACAACACATCCCCATGGAAACCAAAAGCATAGCACTATGCTCTAGCAACCACTGTAAACAAGCTGGCCTACCATTCTGACAACAACATCAATTACGGTAAATGGTGCTGGGAGACAAAAAAAAGAGGAGCAACTTGTATACAATCACTGTATAATTTACAGCAAAAAGCGATGAAAAACGCACAATAAAATACATGTGTATTGTAAATAGCTTGTAGAATGCTATCAATTTTTCATGCTTTTGAAATAGTTTGTCTACTTTGTCTGGCACTATAGTTTCACAAGTACTTTAATACTTAGGAGCATTCCGATGCAGGTAGACTGTAGTGGTTCTACTTACTTTACAAGAGCTTCGGATTTTGTGGCTTGGTCGTGGAACTGTTTCTTGGTTTGGTCGTATCTCTCCAGATTCTGGAAGGTAAAAAGTATATATGATTAACAAATGTCATACTTTACAGGTAGCGTTTTTATACACTTCTCTAATACACATCAGCCAAATAAAAAAAAATGAATATGTTATTGTATTATTGTGTTACTGTATTATTTTGGCAAAACATCTGTGTCTAAGTTGCTGAAAGACGATAAAGTATGTTTGAATCCATAATTAATCAATGTTTTATGCTGAACTAGATAAAAATACTATCAACTTTGTAAATGTTTGGGACCAGGTTATTTGGGTGGAGAGTCAGGCCCTGGGTTATATGGGTGGAGGGTCAGGCCCTGGGTTATATGGGTGGAGGGTCAGGCCCTGGGTTATATGGGTGGAGGGTCAGGCCCTGGGTTATATAGGGTTATATGGGTGGAGGGTCAGGCCCTGGGTTATATGGGTGGAGGGTCAGGCCCTGGGTTATATGGGTGGAGGGTCAGGCCCTGGGTTATATGGGTGGAGGGTCAGGCCCTGGGTTATATGGGTGGAGGGTCAGGCCCTGGGTTATATGGGTGGAGGGTCAGGCCCTGGGTTATATGGGTGGAGGGTCAGGCCCTGGGTTATATAGGGTGGAGGGTCAGGCCCTGGGTTATATGGGTGGAGGGTCAGGCCCTGGGTTATATGGGTGGAGGGTCAGGCCCTGGGTTATATAGGGTGGAGGGTCAGGCCCTGGGTTATATGGGTGGAGGGTCAGGCCCTGGGTTATATGGGTGGAGGGTCAGGCCCTGGGTTATATTGGTGGAGGCTCAGGCCCTGGGTTATATAGGGTGGAGGGTCAGGCCCTGGGTTATATAGGGTGGAGGGGCCGGCCCTGGGTTATTTGGGTGGAGGGTCAGGCCCTGGGTTATATAGGGTGGAGGGTCAGGCCCTGGGTTATATAGGGTGGAGGGTCAGGCCCTGGGTTATATGGGTGGAGGGTCAGGCCCTGGGTTATATGGGTGGAGGGTCAGGCCCTGGGTTATATGGGTGGAGGGTCAGGCCCTGGGTTATATGGGTGGAGGGTCAGGCCCTGGGTTATATGGGTGGAGGATCAGGCCCTGGGTTATATAGGGTGGAGGCTCAGGCCCTGGGTTATATGGGTGGAGGGTCAGGCCCTGGGTTATATGGGTGGAGGGTCAGGCCCTGGGTTATATGGGTGGAGGGTCAGGCCCTGGGTTATATAGGGTGGAGGCTCAGGCCCTGGGTTATATGGGTGGAGGGTCAGGCCCTGGGTTATATGGGTGGAGGGTCAGGCCCTGGGTTATATAGGGTGGAGGCTCAGGCCCTGGGTTATATGGGTGGAGGGTCAGGCCCTGGGTTATATGGGTGGAGGAGCCGGCCCTGGGTTATATAGGGTGAAGGGTGGGGGCCGGTGTGTATTGGTGAATGGGGAGGGATTTGGGAAGTCTTTAGGAAGTGAGAAGGTATATTTACACTCAATTTAACTTTTCATTTTTGAAACATTTTTGTAATGTCAATTCTTTCTTTGTTCATGGCTTTGTCCTATGCTTTTGCGTTCATTGAAATTTCCAGAAAAGCATTTCTGTCTGTTCAAAAAATAAAAAGTCAAAGGGCTGGAATGAAAAGAATTATAATGCACTTCATGAATAATTCATATGTTTCTATGCAAATAATAATAATTCAAATATCATGAGTTCTACATGTGGCCACCATTCCATAACATTGCTTTAGTAATAGCCAGTTCATTTAACAACTGCAGCTGATTCAATGTTAGCGCCTGACTCAAGGTACAGAGGGGTTTTAAAACAAAGTCTCTAATGGCCAACAAGGGAAGTTAGTGGCTGTTCTGATCATAGGTGGCAACAGCTCTGGCAGTCAGTGGAGTGGGTATAGATCAGAAAGGCTGGTCAGTGGAGTGGGTATAGAACAGAAAGGCTGGTCAGTGGAGTGGGTATAGAACAGAAAGGCTGGTCAGTGGAGTGGGTATAGAACAGAAAGGCTGGTCAGTGGAGTGGGTATAGGACAGAAAGGCTGGTCAGTGGAGTGGGTATAGAACAGAAAGGCTGGTCAGTGGAGTGGGTATAGATCAGAAAGGCTGGTCAGTGGAGTGGGTATAGAACAGAAA